TGACAATACGAAAGCTGAGTTTGGTAGCAAGGTCTTCCAACATATCGACATATCCACGGACTGTGCTTTCTTTTCGGCCATTTTGATTCTGTTTTCATACGAAATGGATTTTATAGAAAGGCTTATAGAAACGGGTCAGAAAGACCTTGTCAAGTTCTTCAATCTTCAATAACTTTCAGATATATTGATTTCTTGTCTTTAGATAACAAAATTATCGACCACGCCCATCGTATATACCAAAGAGAATCGGTCGTTAAGGAAAAGCTCATCTACACCGCTTACTCCAACCTTATCCTACAGGGAAAGCAACAGGGAAAAGTTACCTACAATTATAAAAAGCACGATTATTTTGATTTCCCAACTATAACTGAATTTGCTATTTCTAGATGGTACAATTCCCGCTACTCTACAATATATATCGTTAATATGTCGCAGTTGAATAGATATATAAAAGGGCTTCCTCCCATCATTATGGTTTCCTTATTAAAAAATATCGACTGAGAAACAAAACACATAATGCAGGATTTCGAGATATGCAGATTAATTAAGACTACGAAGGTGCCGTGATCGCCACAATGACGTCATTGGAAAATATTCCAATTGACGAGATGGTATCGATGCCCGTCTGTATGTCCGGTGTTTTCGTTCCTGTTAACCTAGTCCTCATTTGAGAGGGCGACATCACTTTCTTGGACTGACCAATGTTTATGTGTTTGATATCAATATGCTAACCTTTCCTTAACACACGATCCCATTGTCCTGGTTCTTTACAAGTTTGTCTATGATCAATGTTTTCCCTTGTTTTAATGATTATGTTCGAATAAAAAATATTAATGTTTCAATGTTTTCGTTTTACATCGAGTGACAAATCATGCAAACATCAGCATTGATGTAATGCGTTTGGTTCCATTCCTTATTTAGTTCTTTTAACACATACAATGATATAGCCTTTTTTTGGAAAAAAAATAGTTTATGCCTACGATTGTAAAACGACAAGTAAATATTTTTTTGATACAAATTTAGTATGATCTATATTATCATACTATCTCTCCTACAGTGTGTCATTATAAGGATAGCGTTAAAATACCTAGATCTCTGGCCCCACTTGTATAAAACATCTCAACTTGAGATTTCCTCAAGTCGAGATTTTCCTCTGCTGATATCTCCTCAAAAACGGCTTGTATAAAATTTTCTCAAGGAACAGGAGGAAGTCATCGGCTAGGATGTCCTGAAATTCCTTGAGGAATTTTCATACAAGATATTTTCAAGGAGATATTAGCTGAGGAAAATCTGGGCTTGAGGAAATCTCAAGTTGAGATGTTTTTATACAAGTGGGGCCAGAAGTTATAAGACAATATTCCCGTTTACAGACTGGAGTCGACATAAACGAACGAACGAATGTACATGGTAAGCTGTATTAGTATTGTTAATTACATTTCGTTACTAGGGGTACTCTCTTTTATCTTAATACTTTTTATTCTTAAAGTCAGCATCGATATCCCATGTGAATGTTATATTGAATCAAATCTTATCTAGCTGCGCGTCCACGGCTACCTGCAGCATCGAATTACTCTACTTTGGTAATAATTGTCATTTTATTCGTCGAAGTATATATAGTTATCACAGTTATATGTAGGATTTATAGGTATGATAATTCGTATATCATGAGTTGTTTATATTAAGTATGTAATTTGATACAGAACTAATCACCATCCCCACCCTCCCTACCCCCAGAAACATATTAAAGACTTATTCAAAATGTCAGTAAATAACACTATATAAATAGATAAACAAATGACCTTGGGTGTTCACAGACAATAAACCCAGCAAACAAATAAACAGCAAATTACATTAACAGAGGAATTTAAGTGAAACATTATTTTATCGAGGTATGTATATCGAGATATTTTCAACCCAAGTTATTTTCGTTCTTGTACCAATATACATGAATTAGCCTCATGCTCATTTCGTCCACCGAGGATAACAGTGTAACAAGTGTTTGCCACACCTTAAATTCGCCCTACCTGTTCACCGACAAAAAAGGCGAAAATTTCCATGTATACATTAGTAACAGATCTAGAAATGTTATAATAATTTACTTTTGTAGCCATATGCATTACAAGATGGTGTGTTTCATAAAGTACCAACGAAATAATTGTAAAATAAACGAATGGATATCTTATTTATTAAATAACAGTAAAGAATCAACATGTAAATAAATCCAAATTGGTCATTCCTTACCAATACATATACCAAGTGATATTTATTAATTAAAATCAAAATGTGCACAGTCTCGTTCACTTGGTTTTGTGTTGAACCAGTCTTGCAGTACATTAATTAAATCGGAATTATTAAGTGTTGGTTGCAGAATATCATCACAGTACAAGTAGGAATTAATTGCTAGCTATTTGTTGCATGTACATTCAAATCTTTAAATCAATAAAACATTGCTAATCTCATTTTCAGTGAACAAACCCCCTAAACACAGTACTCTACTTAAATGGTGAACATTTTTAACTTTCATGATACATGAATGACTATTCTACTAAAAACCTTTCCTACTTTCATCGTCTTGTTTTATTAACTTTCGAAGGTGTGAAGCATGGCCAGATTTCAATTACTACATCTAATTTTCCTGGTATCTCGTAGATATTTTCTTAATAAAATAAATGCATATTATACACTAATATTAATTTGATAAACACTTTAATGAAGTTTAACCGACTCCTATTTAAATGTTGTATAATGTATATATCCCTACATACACTCAAGGTAGAAACGTCGTGATACATATGGGTGTTTTTTGGTCGGTATTTCGTAGGATTTTAGATTAGGTACAAACATACAATTTTCTGCTACCATTTCCAATTCTACCCTGATATAAAAGTGTTTTGAATGCCAATACATATAAAAAAACAACAGCTATTACATGTAAAACATATGTAATCAGACTCAAGCTTAATCAGTGATATCGTCAAACTTAAAATCCCTCCTGGTCAACAAATATCATAAGTGAATGACAGATCACTTCTTTAACCTAAAATAACATCATAACAGATAGATATCTCAACACAACAAATTCATCAGTTATACAGACATATATTGGTTGGCTTTATGGTGTCGCAGATTAGTGTTACAGTAAAACAAACCTGTCACAAAATAATGGCAGGTACTACAATTCTATATATATACAAACAACATATCAATATCACAGGATACAGCTGTTTAACAAGGCAATTCTCAGGCACAATGTATAGAAAAATAACATTCTTTGTTACCAACTTACAACAATTGTAGACATACAATAGGAATGTAAATTTAGCTGCTGCTAAGAAAGGAAATGTTAAACTGAATTGTATACTATAGAAAAATGAAAATATCAAATTAGAAATTAAATTACATAATTATGGCACAGTATAGGTACGGCAAATATCACATTATAAATATCATTTTGTTCTAAATTGGTCTGTAATGAATATTCATGTGGATGAGCATTAATATCAGTATCATTTGTATTGCCATTGTAAATATTGATTGATAGTCTATTACAAAAATTATAAAAAACAAGGTGAGCATGGACATGTAGATATACGGAACCCCAGTCGTTGATCAAAGTCTCAAGCATCCGTTGAACTGTAACCTTGATCAACAACATCTAATCAAGTTGTTATATGATGCTATGGTGTGAATATGAATCAAAGTTGTTCAAATGATATTTTGTAAACAAGGTCTCCATAGATGCACTGATATCAGAACAGACTTATGTTCAATCAGCTTGTGGGTTACAATAATTCATAAACTTTGAAAAATCATTGAATTTCCATTTTTTCTGTTGCTAAAATAGCACATGTATAAATATCAAAAACTTTCACTGAGAGATTTAAAATGTACACTTAAAAATAAAGGTAACACTTTGCACAGAGGGAAATAGCAATGGAGATAAGCACATACAGTATATCATTGTACACTATAATCTATTCTATAAACCTTATGTTTATCAATAATGTAACAGATTCCAACAATGAGATAAATAGAATTAAAAACACAAAAAAAACCTCTTTATTGTCAAGATTCTAGCTCTCAGATTAAAAACGGTCTGATAAGAATATGATACATGATATTGTTGACTTCCTGAGCATATTTCTTCAATAACATACAACAATAACAATATCTAAACTAGTGTTTCTAACACAAACAGCTCAACAAAAAAATGATAAAACAAATTTAGGAGATTGAAAATAGGAACATATTATGTAATTTTAGATAAATAAAATGTTGAACTACCAGTACTTTAGAGAGGCTACAGTAAATAAGATGTGAAGTAAAAGACTATCATTGTTGTTCTGATGCAGTGAACACACTAAATTAACTGACGTAAGCAAATCATCTTTAATCAAATTTGTAGTGGACTTGTAGATAAATTGTACACCAATGAGTTTAAATGCCTCTGTGAAACAAAGTAAATGTACATAACTGCAGATTTGACATTGGAATATATTGAATAAATTTGTGAGAAAAACAAATATCTGTCAACACAGGGTTCACAACTAATGTTTAAAATCTGATAAAGGTCGCTAAAGTGGAGTAGTAGAGGAGTCATACACACAAATGGCGAGACCCCTCATCAAGAAGCAAAACGATGTTGATGGTAAGTATCATAAATTTGCGGGTATAGCGCACACTTGGGTTATAAAAAAAGTGTATATAATATAAATATTGATTACTGGTTACCGCGGTGAAACCGTTAATGTTTTGATCCATCAATAATTAGGAAACCACAATGAGTATGGTCCTTATGCATTTCATTGTCTTATGTAAATAAATTCACCCAGGTGCCTGACTTATCACGCATAGAAGGCAAGGCTAATAGGGTAATTAACGGTAGGCAATGTTGTATGATGGTTACATGTAATGTTAAGTTTTGTTGATTCCTGATATCAGAAGTACACGCTCAATTATGTTTTTTGTTTTAGTTTATGAACATTTAATCTCAACCAGCATCAAAAAAGCACACATGAGGATGATTTTTCCTTTTGTGGTTTTGTTGTCGGCTGGGGTGGAGTTTCTACATATTGATGGCGGTACAGATATGGTGGAGGCAGAATAGTTGATGACTGTTTCTGATTTGGTTTAGATCGAGTCTTTGATGAAGTTTGTTTAGCTGCTGTAGTTTGTGTACCTGAAGAAGACTGTGAAAACAGTGAATCATAAGACGGTGGCTGATCATCTCCCTCTGCTTCGATTGAGACATCTGACTTTCCTGGACCGTCTTTTTCTCCAATGTTCTGTTTTTTTTCTCTTTCCACAGTTGAAGCAGGAATGTTACTTGTGTTAGATGTAGATAATTCAGGTTTTTGTTGAGTCTTTTCCTGACCTCCAGTTTGTATATTTTCAGTTTCATTGCCTTTCTTCTCTAGTGTCCTTAAAGTGACATCTGTAGTACAGACCTCATTTTTCTTGACATATTTTACATTTCCTATAGCAGTGGGTACAAATTCCATGATCTCTGCAAGAAGATTCTCAAATTTATCCCCCGTCCAAAGCATGCCAGGTTCTTCTTCATGACTGAAATCAATGAATCGAAACTGTGACAAGACCGTGCTCATTGGTCCACTTGGTGGCCAGTCCATCTTTTCCAACAGAAGAGGGACGACAGGCTTCTCAATTGAATCAGCCAGACTGACTTCTCGTCTACAATTGGCAGAGACTGCGTACTTGGTGGTCACACAGCTTAGGACAATCTTACAACCTCGGACACCTCGGTCAATCTTGTCATACAGAGAGTCACCTCCTCCCATCTGGTAGATGTCCATCCAGCAGGTCAAACCAAGCTCACAAAGCCTCTTGTAGAGCTGTTTGATCTGTGTCTGTTTACCCCACTGGTAAGACAGGAATACATCTGGGGACTTACTGGTCTCCTCCTACAATGTATTCACGCATACAATTTAAATAAAGATTTTCATTCAGTGAGATCAATTTGATCAATTTCATTAATTTTAAGACATACTCACTATCTACATGAAATGGAAAGATGATTATGGAGATATTGTAATTACAACAATGTATTGTAATTTGATTACATTACCTTGTCCACAGCTGTGATAGCTGTACTCTGACCTCCATTGTTTGACTTCGTGGTAATGATGCTTTCTTCAGTCACAGGAACCCACCAGTTTTTGTACTCTATAAGTATATAGACCAGGAAGAAAAACTGAAAATTACTCCATTTCCAGTAATACCAACAAAAATTAAAAATATTGACATTATTTTTTTTTATTTACAACAATGTAATACAATAAGTGACCAGTCTTCATGGTTTATAGATTAACGTCCAGTCTATCTTGGACCATTCATGATATATTTGCCTTCCATGATTTGATGTAAGTCATCACAAGATGTACATCATAAAGAGCAAGAAATGTTTACCTTTCCAACAGACGTGGGTTACTTTCCCTCACATGATTTTGTTTTCAATATGTATCAATTCATTTTTAATCTCAGAAATTTTGTTCAATATCTAGGAACCATTCTCGTCACTATCTAGTTTTGTATGACACATGCCATCAACAAACCTTGTGGTTACACGTTAACACTGACCTTCGGTAATCCGTGATTCATCAGGCATGATTTTGTAAATGTTCAGTTGCATGAGAATTTCCCGGAACTTCTGAACTGGCCAGTAACACTGGTTTGCAGTTTCCTCCCCTCCTCGCTGGAAAAATCTCACAAACAAGTACTCACTGAAGATGGGTCCCATGGAGCCCTTGGGAGGCCAGGCCATTTTCTCCATCAAGAGAGGAATCATGGGTTTCCCTAGGTTTACAGACAGGTTCACCTGAGAAAGTGATAGTAAATAGTGTATGCATACTAGGGTTTCTATCTGAAACTTGATTTTTAATTTTCCTTGTTTTAACATTAAAAATAACTATAAAAAATTGGGAATTGTTCCCCTTTTTTGTCATTTTAGTTCAGTATATTAAAATTCAAACATTCTACTAGTGGTAATACCTTTTCAAACATTTATCATTATTTTTATGAATATATATGTGCACAGAATGTTAGTTTGGTGGAAAGTTTGAGTCATAAACATTAAATATCAATAGAGTTCTTCCAACCTTATTTTATAATACACAATTGATCACAAACAGAAACGGTTGCCTTCCCTTCACTCACCTCTCTATTACAGTTGGGAGATTTGGCGTATTTTTCTGACACACAGCATATGATAACCTTTGACCCTCTTATTCCATTGTCAATCTTCTCAAACAGTTTATCCCCACCTCCCATCTGTCCAACATCCATCCAGCATTCATAGCCAGCCATGAGAAGGTGTTGTCGTAGTAACTTGACCTCATTCTGGTGACCCCATTGGTAGCTAAGGAAGATCGGAGGAGGTGTTGTGTAATCGTGGGCTTCCTCCACAACATCCTCTGGTTACATCAATGATATTATGATAAAAAAAACCTGCTTCTTACAGTGTGTGTAAAATCAGATGGTATCAATAATAATATAGGAAGGAAGTTAATGTTTAACATAAAATATAATTCATTGATAACAACAATTCATTGAAAGATTACAAAACATGACATTTGTGTGTTAAAAAATGTGATGCTGACATCATCATTATAGTAAGTTCTACTGTATAGTTATCCCATCTGTTTGTATTAAGATAATGTTCTATATTATGTTTGAACATCAATTTGACCTAATTGAATCCAAAACTTGACTTTTCATTTTTCAAATATGGAACAAAAGTCAGGAAATGTCAGGTGATTCCAGCATTTTCACAATAAAAGCAGGTCGATGCTATCACCAACATCAGGTGAGTTGATGCTATCACCAACATCAGGTGAGTCAGTGCTATCACCAACATCATGTGAGTTGGTGAGTTGATGCTATTACCAACATCGGGTGAGTTGATGCTATCACCAACATCGGGTGAGTTGGTGCTATCACCAACATCAGGTGAGTTGAAGCTATCACCAACATCGGGTGAGTTGGTGCTATCACCAACATCGGGTGAGCTGATCCTATCACCAACATCGGGTGAGTTGATCCTATCACCAACATCGGGTGAGTTGATCCTATCACCAACATCGGGTGAGTTGATCCTATCACCAACATCGGGTGAGTTGGTGCTATCACCAACATCAGGTGAGTTGAAGCTATCACCAACATCGGGTGAGTTGATGCTATCACCAACATCGGGTGAGTTGGTGATACTGCATGTACTATATTAAATATGACATAATAACATTAACAATCAAAACAATGGTGTATCATGATGCTAGTCTGTACATGACTGTAGTGGTCAAAAGATAGAATATTTAATTCTATAAACTTCAAAATTACAAAATATAGTACAATACTGACCTACTGCCTTCATAGCATTCTCTACAATGACTACAGCGTCCAGTCTGTTCATGTCTTGTAGAATGTTCAGTACTGCATGAGTAGCTTCAGCTGTCTTGTGGGTAGTATACCACTCACTAAGTACAGCCATGCAGGGGTCGCTGTGTGTGGCCCATGCTTTAATGTCATTCAGTGAATATCCCAAGCGCTGGGCCAACAATCTCCAATCGTGGTCAGATTTTGGATTCATCAACTTTGTAAGATCTCTTGACCATGCTGGGGCATTTGACATTGTCTGTTGAAGAGTCAGTATTTGAAAGTCATGATTTCAGTTGGAATCTTCATTTGACTGACCATGAATTCAATGTTTAACACAGTAAATATAAATTTAATCTTTTTGTCCAACAATTTTCTCTGCCACTGTTAAAATATGTGTAAAATATACCTTTACTGTTTTATGACAGTGACAGAAAATATGCATGCGCAAAAATCTAATCTGTTTCATAACAGCTAAATTATTCTGTCTCTAATATGACAAAAAGTAAGCATAATTTAAGCAGAAAATGCTGCATCAACAGAATACACATTCTGTGTCTTAGAATAAAAAAACCCCGACAGGGTTAGAGAGTATTCTAAAATGTAGGTAGCATCATTATCTTTAGATATCAATATTTTCTGCAAAAAAACCCATTCAGCTTACTTTGTTGTCTATTTCCTCAACTCTGACTTTCGTTTCATCAAGACCTTTTTCCACTACGTCTACCCGTTTTTCGACAGTTTCAAGTCCACTCTTGAAAGTTTTGATGTCCTTGCCTTGTTTGTCAACTTCTGTTTTCATCTCACTAACTACCGTTTCTACTTGTGTGACTTTCTTGTCAAGGACTTTGACCTTTCTCTTGGTTTGTATGACATCAGTGATGATACCCTCCATACTGAAGGAGAATAAAACAGGTACTGACTTGTGGAGTTTTATCTTCCCACTATGTATATTAATGTAGCTGTTGCCTAACTAATCTAACGGTATTCATTCTATAGAATTCATAAAAGAAAACTTCACTGTTTTATTCTTACAGTATTGGTTCAAATTCTCAATAAACAAGAGGCCAAATGGGGCTGAATTATTCATCTGTTCTGCAGATCAAATGGAAGACTGTCCGTTATCTCAAGCAATGTCTAAATGGAAAAGTTGATGATGAACAGATGGACGATAGATGCCCTTTGGGTAAGTGAGCTAAAAAAATTATTACAACACTATGTAAGGATGAAGATAAAGCCACTTGCACTTTGGGTACATGAGCTAAAAATTATCATTACACAATGTAAGGATGAATATAATATGTTACTCATAGGTGAAATCATTCACAGCATGATATAGAAAGCTCAACAACTGGAAACACACCATTTAGCTCATCATAGATTTAAAATTACTGAAACTGGCAAATGAAATTGCCTGTCGAATATGCTTCAATAAAGAAAAAAATGTTTGAGAATGCATTTTTTTAAAAGGTTTTTTCTTTTTCTTTTTTTCATGTTTGGTCTCGAGGCTTAATCGTCAAGTCCATATTGTTACTACTTAAATTATCTAATTACCTGACCCCATCCATTGCATTTACAATAGCAGCTGATGTGTCCTTGACAGGGGAAGTTTTTCCATATTTCTGCAAATCCTCAAAGTATTTACGGTGGAGCTTAAGTGTTTCCACACCATATTTAGCCCCTAGAATTCGGATAGCATCTAACAGAGATATCTGGTGATTTGGATCAGTCCAACTTTGTGTCAAAGTGACAAGCTCTTGTAGAATAGTATCAGCCATTTCCTGTAAATTATGACACACAACATTCCTCAATATGCAACAAAAATTCAGTCAGCAGCAATATGGACAAAACTTTATATTTTTTTTGCTTTTAGCATTGACATTGATCTAAACGACAGGGCTTAAAAAACAAATTATATTGGTAGTATTGTAGATCTACAGTTCACTACTGGGATATTTTTTTTTCAAAAGGAGGGACAATATCCCTGATTAATATCAGCACATATTCAAGAGGGAATTCTTTATCATTGAACTGATGTATGTCAAGCAGATTAATTACCAGATAATTATAAAATCCAAACACCAATTCATCAACTATATAAAGAACAAACCTTTTTCTTCAGGCCTAAGTTGACAGCAATTATTTGGACCGAAGCTGCATTAACAACATCTAGGTTAGGATTTTGTAAGACATGTTTAATCATGTTATCTCCAAACAGTTGTGGTTGGCAGGCTATTATTTCACCAAAAGCCGTCAATACATTGTACTGCGACAATTTGTCATCCAGAAACCTCTTAATCATCCAGTCAATATGTTCCCGAGTAAATAGCTGAAAAAAGAGAAAAAAATTAAGATTTAAGCAATCCCATGGTAAAAGTTTCTGGTGTAATTTGTGATACAGATATGACCTGTTATCACTTATTCTTTTCACAAGTGTCCGTTCTTTTTCAGATGTTTCCATTTAAATACTTCCATTTATAGACAAAAAATTGAAATTTAAATGAAATAGCTGCCGATAACTTCATCTCCCATTTTAAATCTTTCAACTAATATTCAATCTTCAATCTAGCTATAGATGATTTGAAATCTATCCTAAAACTGGGTAACAGCTTTAACCATTTGACCAAGCTCAATACTGCTCCAGCTGTGAATTTTAACCTCTCACATAAGTATAAATGATTTGACTTTTGCAAACAAATGGCTTTAGCTTTAATATGAAATTCAAACTCTGATAAAAAAAAAATAGATAACTTGTCATCCAACATGGAATCCAAACAACGACCCAGCTACTGATTAATTTATCACAAACATAAATATGACCTTTGGCCTAGCTGTTAATTGACCTGTGATATTTCTCACCTCAGCTTGTCTTTCAGCCATTAATTTTAACAGCATACCGTGTGTAAAAACTTTGGAATTATCAGTGTCCTCTTCTATTGCCTCCATAATGACATTAAAATCTGGAGTTGTGAATCCATCACTTTCCTCAAAAGGCTTCCAGAGTGCTCCTAAAACATGTCAGTTTGAAAGGAATGAAAGAAAATGGTAACATATGATAATACATAGGTTTTATGTACAAACATCAACAAATATGTTAACTGTTTAATGTATGAAGTAAATTCTGGCATCTCATAGTTACATTTACCAGTAGCCATTAAATAGCTATAATTCTGGAAAAATGTCCACCTGAACATGTGGACAGAAAGACACTCTAAACAGATAATTCCCCCTTCCCCTACACACTTTCATGAAATGGAAAATGATGCACATACTCAAAGCAAAAGCAGATAGTGTTTCTTTGTACCAGGTGACAAGGGCACCCAGATGTCCATGCAGTAGTTTGTAGTCATCAACGCTGATAATATAGACAATGGCCTGACTCTTCTCCATCAATATTTTCTCCTCATGTTTCAATTGTTTCACAATGGCTGGAATAAGGGGCAAACACACATCAGAGGTCTTGGTCCCAATATGCTGAAACAGACAATTGTATAGACCTAACAGTATTTACTCTTAAGTGTATGTATGTTTCTAATCAGCAAAGATTATAACTAATATTGAAAAAAAAAGTTCGACATCAATTTTACTTTTTTTATATACATTTCCTATATATAAGTATTCAAAATAGATAAGTATATGAAATCTCCTCACAAATAGACATTGAAACAATGAAAATATATTTAGGGGCATTCCTCAGTCCCCTCTCTCTACTCTTGACTGTTAAAAAAATCCTATTTACATGGCATTCGTCATTACACATATCATTCATTCTAAAGTTTACAATTTATCAAAAGGACTTCTTACTTTTCTTACGAAGGATTCCAGATATTCTGAAGCTGCAAGTCCATACAGAGATGTCTGTCTGAAATCCATGTCTACGTAGTCCAAATCTTCTGTCTGCATTGCCCAAAGAAACATCTTAATCAAGATTTGGTTTACTTCATCTGGTATTTCTTTTCCAATGCTGAAACAAACACCACAATAAAATCATTATTGGTGGCTTATTCAAGCTGTGTTAAAAATTCAGAATTAGTTGAGTATTGTTTCAGATACCTCAATAACCCCTTACGTTACATAACGTTGATCTGCAACACACTTTCATTTTCCTGACCTTGGACTCTAGGAAATTTTTATTATTGGTTGTACATACCTGTAGGCCTCTAAGGCTTTCTCCATGAACTTGGTCCCAATCAAATATGTATTGTAGTCATCCCATATGTAGTCCCTGTCATAGAATAGCACTGCAAATCTCTTCATCAGGCCAGGAATCACCTCCTGGTTTGACTGAAAGTTAACAAAATATATCAACCCCCCTACTTAGAGTTCTTATCTGAAGACTATTTGAAATTGAATTAATATTTCCATCAATTATTTATTCTTACTTGAAACATTTTTAACATAGCAGTGTTAAAGGACGTCCTCAATAAAGTATCAACTAGAACAAGAGATCCCAGAGAGCTCTTCATGTCCACCACTGTTTGATCTGTATGTATTTGTTATTTAAGAATGTATAAAAAAGTTTTAAAAATAAAAGTCTTTCACTTATTTCCTGTTTTTGCTCTTAACTACATGAAAAAGGCTAAAAAAGAACATGTTTGATAAATTACCTTCTATTGTCTGTCATTCAACAAACTTTGGTCAACTTAGTAGTTACCATATTATAAGAAAAGGGTGCAGCTTATTTTCCAATGTGGCTAATAAGTGGATCAAATAAAAAAAATCAGTGAAATTTGGCTTTGCAGCCTATGTACCAGTGCAACTTAAGACCTGTAAATTACAGTATTATAGAAAATTCTATAGCACGACTGATTCTGCCAGTAAACTGTTTCTCCACATACACATACTCAATGTTTACTGAAATTCATGATGATTTGCTAACACAATAAGTTAGTGTGGGTATTTAATCACTCACCTCCAGGCTTATCTCTCTGACAAATCTCTCAACAAACTGACACAGCAGCTTGGATCTTTTCTCCATCATAGTCATGGCCATTTCTGCTACATACCCATGCAATTTCTCTGAGATTTTAGCGAATCTGAATAAAAAAGAAAACAACAATCATGCCAGAAATATTAGTGTAGCCAATAATGCTATACACTAAATAAAAATAACTGCTGAAAAAAGTGAGTGATGGTTCTAAAGAAGAAGTCATTTATACAGAGGAACGGATTAATGATAGATACTAAACAAATCCTTGTCTACGACCACACTGATGCACTGTTACTATCAGTATTGTATGTTTATTTATAAAATCTTTATACATGGATGACAGATACATGCCATTTAGGCCTCTTGTACTATATACAAACTTGAACTGTTCCAGAAGTGTGTAGATAGTGTTCCCACAGTTCTCTAAAAGTCTTTCATCTTTGTCATCACCATTTAAGTGAAGGTGCACCTCTCCTATAGGTTCTATGATGTCTAAAGCCTCCTGGTAATTTTGCTGAAAGAACAAGTGATCGGATGATTTTCATGCTCACTTACTAGTGTCCTGCTTGAAATAATGAATTAAAATCTTTACATTTAATGAATATTTTTTCCTATAGTTGACAGCACATTGCATTAAATCAATAATTTTGATTTTTCTGTACTCTTCTGAAATGACATTAACATGTCTACATTGTATATAAAACTTCTTACTTTCCAGTTCCAAATCTTCATAAACTTTTTCTGTCTGAATGTGTCCCGACACCGGTACACTCCTTTCCTGTGCATGGATTTCATCATTACCTTCATGAGAGGAAACCATTTTTTCTCTGATCCCTTCCTGCAAAGTCATACCAACAGTGTACATGTACTGGTGTATTTATATTTTAGGTTCAGGTACCATTAAGTTGTCTGAGAGTTTTGTTGACATTAAAATTGTAAATCAAACACAAATTATATAATCAGAATATATACAACAGGGTATTGGTTTTGTCATTTGGTTAGTATCCTAAAAGCACATTACATGTATGGGAAGAAGATTCAGAAATTTCAAAATTAGCTCAAGTTGAGCTCTCTTCCAAACTCAAACTGATCCTCTTGTCTTGTTGAATTCCCTTTCTGACCAAATCATTTCAATCCATTCCATTTTAATCCTTATAACCAAATCCTAAAACATAACAACTAAAACACCTGGACAACTCCAATTGTTTGCATGTTCCTGTCAAGTTAAACTAGAATTCCAAACAGAACTGGTGCTCTACTGGTCCCAAACAGAACTGGTGCTCTACTGGTTCCAAACAGAACTGGTGCTCTACTGGTTCCAAACAGAACTGGTGCTCTACTGGTTCCAAACAGAACAGGTGCTCTACTGGTTCCAAACAGAACTGGTGCTCTACCGGTTCCAAACAGAACTGGTGCTCTACTGGTTCCAGACAGAACTGGTGCTCTACTGGTTCCAAACAGAACTGGTGCACTACTGGTTCCAAACAGAACTGGTGCTCTACTGGTTCCAAACAGAACTGGTGCTCCACTGATTCCAAACAGAACTGGTGCTCTACTGGTTCCAAACAGAACTGGTGCTCTACTGGTGGTGTCAAACTTTGTCTTACATATGACTTTGTATGGCTTTTCATTCAGAAGATGTAATAACAATATTGTCAAAATGGTTGCCATAGAGACTACCTTGAATATATCTCAGACTTGGATTTCGCCTCCCACGTAGACCACACAAAACTCATTCATAGAAGTCTTATCTAAATAGAAATATCCCTTCAGGAAATATTGGGACAAGATAACAAGGGCAGCCATCTTGACTGCAGCACTAATCAGAATTTCAGTTAGGCCCATCTTCAGACCATACACAGCTTATTAGTGGAAGGAGATAATTATTTCTGATTGATCTACCAAGTTGTATAATCTAAACATACATGGGGTTCTCATGTTGGTGCTTTCCACCTGAACAAGCAGGTAAACATGTGACTAACCTCGCAGAAGACTTCTCACTCAACACGGTGATATAATAGTAGGCCCAAGGCATAATCTCTGGCTTCTTCTGCACAATTTCTGTAAACATCACAAGCATGTTGTCCATAATCTCAGGGTTATTCTGAAAGATAGAACAAACCTTTATTAAAATGAACATATACTCAAGACATACACCGTAAGTATTCACTTTAGAACATCATAGTTTTCAACAATAGTCTGTTTCAACAACAGATCCGAGAGGGATCTTGAAACCAGACATTATATGATTTGATTAGTTCTTTATCAATCATATTTTGCGTTCTGCTTTTCTCTTTAATTCAATCTGTCCGAAAATGAAAATATTAACATCGTGACACCAAGACAAACATACGGCTTAAATCTGAGAAAGATCCTTCCAGTATTCAACAAAGAGGTATTAAAAAATCGGTAAGCAGGACCAGACAACGCCAATGAAGATCTTCTGTAACTTTTTAACCTAACCTTTGGTACCGGACTCGGTATTCCCTCAGGGAATCAGCTGTGGAGTGATACCGGACTTACCAGCCTTACCTCTTGGACGATGGATCTCTTTTTCTTCGTAAAGTGGTATTAATTTCAACTTTCAAAAAAATGTCGCACAAAAAGGGCCCAAAAGGGAGGAGTCTGGACATGAATCTGAGAAAAATACAATCCAGTATTTCTCAAAATATAGCAATAACAAACTTCAATTTTCATAAGTCATGGTGGATGCTTGTTGGTCATTGTTTTTCACATTAGTCCTTAACTTGAACATGCACAACTAGGGGCTAAGAGGAATGTGATGCAAGACCAACAGATCCAGTTTCTAAAGAAATAATGATTACAAGAATTGTTTAAGGACAGACAGACAATGGACCACGGACAGAGCAGGATTTGAACAGTCATCAGATGGTAGGCTAAAATTGCCAAAACATTCTCATAACATTTCATAAATTTTAAATACCCTGGCACATTCCATTATTTTCAAAACAAACTGAACTTTATGATCTGTATATAAATTTCCTGCTTTTGAGGAAAACTGCAGAATTTTATCAAGGATCAATGACTTCGGTAATATTTATAGTCTAGAAGTAGTATTTTCCCAGACTTTTACAGAAGGTCAGGTTTAAATGCTCCATACACTACAGTCCTTGTTCAACTTACATCATACACTTCTGCTTCTGTTACTGTCACCAGATGCAGTATTCTAGATAATACTCTGGGTCTGTTGACACCATCTTTAGTGAGAAAATAGCTTTTCATCATGTGTACGACTTCATCCCAAAGTTCAACTGTCCATTCTTTTTCTCTGAAAGAAAACTAAGTTCTGATGATAAAGAAACGAAAATCAAATTCATAAACATCAACAAAAAAGGAGGTTGATCTACTAGACGGTGTGTGTTTCTAACATATGTTGGAGGTTGATCTAATAGACGGTGTGTGTTTCTAACATATGTTGGAGGTTGATCTACTAGACGGTGTGTGTTTCTAATGTACAATATTATATATTGAAGTTTGAGTTTCCATTTATTGGTGTGATACTTATAAAATGTTGAAGTTAGATCTACTAGTTATTGGTGTGTATTTCTAATGTATATTACATAATTTTACTGTTACATAGGTGTTTTCTGCTGATCAAAGTAATTCTGTAACTGAACATTTGAATCAGGACATGCTATATCAGAATCAATCAATACAATCCTAGCGAAGCTAAAATTCTTGTATACCTCCACAACCACTTACATAATACAGTCCACCATTAGACTGACAATTTCCACAGAAACATCAACATGATTTTCCTTGAATTTGTTGCTGCAGATTGTGGACTCAACAGACTTCCAGTGTCTCCGCAGGATGTCAGGTTTCGTTAGAACCTAGTATTGAGGAAACAATCATTATTTATTGATGTATGAGCCTTTAAATCAATTTCATGTTGATTAATGTTTCATCAACTCTGCATATGGGACTCTGCCTTTGTTTCTTTTGTGTTCGTGTGTCATCAGTCTTAACTATGATATCTATACATGTAAACGGTTAAGTATACCGGCAACATCAAGTTTTTATTTTTAGGAAGAAACCTTGACCTTTGCTTGTAAAAAGGTACATGTATGTCTAAGGGAAACATGCGTATTGAATTTCAAAATAAAAATAAGTCAGTATGTACAAATTGACAACTGTGATAGGGTGAAAACATATCCATACCCCCTACCTACCTGGTATGGGTTTCCGTCATGTTGGTCAGAATAAGCCGTTTCTATCCTCTTCATAGCATACTCTAAGTGGTGAATATGATCATCTGGTACCTCAGTAATTTTGGTGAAGTAAGACAGGTACAGTTCCAGAAACTGTTGATGAACTGTTGGTTTATAAACTTTCTTACTCTTGTAGTTTCTGTAAAAGTTTTACATATACAGACCAACAGTGATTTCCTAATTCAACATTCTACTGTTCTCGGGAAATCTTATAAAGATGACTGCCATAGCATTATCAATATTTCCTGAGTCTAGAGGACACCTATAAGTAACGTGCTACCATGCTAAATGAAGACTTCTCCTCTAAATACTTAGCATTGATATGTTTATCCAGTGTTGCCATGAAAGACATTTAGAACATAACTAGAAATAGCGAAACAATTTTTGTTAAATGATATCAGATTTAGCCCCAAAATTTCATGTGTAGTATTATCAACAGCTGTCTTCAGTGATCTTATAAATACACAATCATCACATATTTACTTCTGTGTTGTAATTCATGGCTGACACTGTAATCTACATTGGGACCTAAAACCTGTAACAAGGACATAACATTGTGTTTCCCACTCCATATATCTATGTAATGAATTTAACATATGACTGTTTACCTGCAAAGGATCTCGTGTACATTTCTTACCCAAGAATGATTTTAAGGAGTTTGTAGATACAGACACCCCAGTAATAAGACTGTGATTCATGCACAAATTTCTTTGGATCCTCGGGTACATAATGCCAATCCTTTAAACTGTTAATCACCATGGTTAGTTTCTCTCCATCTAAAGCCTTTAAAGCAAAGAGATTCATATTACAGGTTAGTTTTTTTTTCTTTTGAAAAAAACAAACAAACAAACAAAACAAAACAAAACAAAAAAAATGTAAAATTGAAATCATAACAAAAAATAACCCCTTGAAATAACAAACAAATTAAAACGTCACAGGAAATATTTCATAATCAGTATAAACATGACAACAGTCTTTTTATCACAGCCTTATACCGACTGTATTATAGGAGGAAGTCTATAAGAAGATAAATGATGCTAGAATATCTGTGTTACAGTATATATAGTGACTGGTAAGTATGACTCCATGTCTGGGGTCCTGTGTTACAGTATATATAATTACTGGTAAGTATGACTCCATGTCTGGGGTTCTGTGTTACAGTATATATAATTACTGGTAAGTATGACACCATGTCTGGGGTCCTGTGTTACAGTACATATAATTACTGGTAAGTATGACACCATGTCGGGGGTTCTGTGTTACAGTATATATAGTGACTGGTAAGTATGACTCCATGTCTGGGGTTCTGTGTTACAGTATATATAGTGACTGGTAAGTATGACTCCATGTCTGGGGTCCTGTGTTACAGTATATATAATTACTGGTAAGTATGACTCCATGTCTGGGGTTCTGTGTTACAGTATATATAATTACTGGTAAGTATGACACCATGTCTGGGGTCCTGTGTTACAGTACATATAATTACTGGTAAGTATGACACCATGTCGGGGGTTCTGTGTTACAGTATATATAGTGACTGGTAAGTATGACTCCATGTCTGGGGTTCTGTGTTACAGTATATATAGTGACTGGTAAGTATGACTCCATGTCTGGGGTCCTGTGTTACAGTACATATAATTACTGGTAAGTATGACTCCATGTCTGGGGTTCTGTGTTACAGTATATATAATTACTGGTAAGTAAGACACCATGTCGGGGTTCTGTGTTACAGTACATATAATTACTGGTAAGTATGACACCATGTCTGGGGTCCTGTGTTACAGTACATATAATTACTGGTAAGTATGACACCATGTCGGGGGTTCTGTGTTACAGTATATATAATTACTGGTAAGTATGACTCCATGTCTGGGGTCCTGTGTTACAGTATATATAATTACTGGTAAGTATGACTCCATGTCTGGGGTCCTGTGTTACAGTACATATAATTACTGGTAAGTATGCCTCCATGTCTGGGGTTCTGTGTTACAGTACATATAATTACTGGTAAGTATGACACCATGTCTGTAGTCCTGTGTTACAGTATGTATAATTACTGGTAAGTATGACTCCATGTCTAGGGTCCTGTGTTACAGTATATGTAATTACTGGTAAGTATGACTCCATGTCTTGTGTTTCAGTATGTATAATTACTGGTAAGTATGACTCCATGTCTGGGGTTCTGTGTTACAGTATATATAATTACTGGTAAGTATGACTCCATGTCTGGGGTCCTGTGTTACAGTACATATAATTACTGGTAAGTATGACACCATGTCTGGGGTCCTGTGTTACAGTACATATAATTACTGGTAAGTATGACACCATGTCTGGGGTCCTGTGTTACAGTATATATAATTACTGGTAAGTATGACTCCATGTCTGGGGTTCTGTGTTACAGTATATATAATTACTGGTAAGTATGACACCATGTCTGGGGTACTGCGTTACAGTATATATAATTACTGGTAAGTATGACACCATGTCTGGGGTCCTGCGTTACAGTATATATAACTACTGATAAGTATGACTCTATGTCGGGGGTCCTGTGTTAAAGTGTTTATAATTACCGCTAAGAATGACTCCATGTTTTGAATCCTCAATAATTTTTCGTTGATTAAGTAAGCAGCAGAAGATCCAGGTCCGTACTGTAAAAGACTCAGTAGGAATTCAAACCACAGTCCCTGACAAGTTTCCTCACTCACTCTTCTATCTGTTACACATACACTGTAAAACAGTTGTTAAAAAATCTCTATAAAGTTCCTCTATACCTGCATTGGAAATATAAGTGGTAAAATGTCAACATAATTCTAGTATACCTGTGACTGAAGTGGTTCAGGATAATGTATCATATTTCTTAAACCTGCTGCCATCTATCCAAATCACATGGTTGTGAAATGAGTTTGACCGATATCTTGGTTTTTGATTATCAAAATCACTTCCAAGGACCTCAGAAGTCTGTACCTAAGCATCATACATGTATTGTACTGAGTATGAACCAGATGGAATTTGTGCCAAGCCCTTGCAGTTATATCTAATAAGAATGAAAATGAGTGTTAACAAGTTCATGTAATTGGACTACACTAACGCTCCCAATCCAAATAAAAACCAGTTCCTTCTGCGACTTATAAAGTTTTTCTCTGCAAGGTTTAAATTTGTAACTATATCGTAGTACTGTACACTTGTCATAAACTTACCTCATTACCTCTTCTATCAGTTTCAATACTTTATCAGTCATCCCCTCTCCAACAGAATGTGGTGGTGGGAACCCCATCACACAGATCTTCTCCTGCAGCGCTGTTAGACAGGCTCGCAAGGTTTCGGAACTCCCCTCACGACCACAGGTTTGCCAATGACTGTACAATTCTTTTCGTAAATGATCATTCTCCGAATAAGCGGCATTCACAAAGTCATACCTTCTGATTATATATTCCAATACAGACGGACCTGTAAATAAATTACCAATCTAAAATGCATAAAATAAGGACCCACAACAAGTACTAATACAACCTCCAGGACATACATTGTGTAGATACTAAGGGAGATAATCGAGTTTAATGTAATTTCTACATCTTCCTGCCAGTGTTAGATAGATTACATATGTACCTTGGGTTATTCTCTCATTGTTAGGTGACTAATCATTTCCTTACTGAAATAAATGTATGTATGGCAAATTTTGGTGAACAAAGAGCAGTAATTATGTATAAAATATCAGAAAAACCTTACTTTACTCCACAAAACTTCAAAGTATATCACCTAACAGGTATTTATACTAATACAGGTATTCATTGAGGGAAATATATATATATATATATATATTTATAGGGGAAAAATATATATATATATATATATATATATAGGTGGCAGATTAAATGAAATACTTTACAAAATTTAGAAACTGGCTTAGTCTCAGGGTTTAATTACATGATCAATTTATTTCATAAACATTACATGTATATACCTGATCCCAGAAATTAATATATTATTTCACAAATATTTTCAAATAATATGGACAGTAGTTTAACAGATATTAAGCCAAAACTGCAGAAGAAAGAAAAAAAAACAACATAAAACAAATATTTCATCCCAGCACTTTGACAAATCTTAATGAGCAGTAAATGATAAAATACTTAACTGCTATATGTAAAATATATATATGTTGACAGTATTTAAAAGATAACATTATCAAAATACATCTAGTACAAACCTTGTGGTTCAGGTTCTGGATCATCTGTAAACAATCAATATATCATTATAACCATGAAACAGAAAGCATGTCAAATAAAACAAGCCTGTGTAGCAATCATCTGTAATTCAATGCTATATATCTTATATAGATATAATACTGACATGATCAACATTCACACAGGCTTCAGTAATAAAATATCATCAATCACCTGATTGGAAAGTTCAGCTGATTTCAAGATTAAATGTATTGCTATGATTTACCTATTTCTATGTGTGCAAACATTTCAACAGTTGTTTCCCTTTAGAATAATTGAGCAAAAATTAAGGAAAACTAGACTGACCTCCCACTGAAGCTTTATGTTTTTTGTTTGAACATGGGTTCTTGTGAATTGAAGTTATTGATGAAAGACTTATAAATCATAAAATCTGGATTTACAATTAAACTATGAAATTTTGAGAAGGTTGAGTTTACTGTAGTTTACCACTTCCATACCACATTTAGATACAGCTTTCCATTGTTGCCTGTATCTTGTACATATACATTGTAAATGTTTTATCATAGTTCACTGGAGGAGGGGAAGTAACTCTGATTTTCATTTTATTTAATGTCACACAAGAAATTAAGATCCTGTTGAGTAAGGATGAACTGCTTCCCCATGTAACACAACTATGCACATACCATAGATGATGGATTATTTTAGTTAAATCAATGACAGACAATGTTTTTAATCTGATTTTCACCAATTGATATATAAATCCTGACAGATACAGAATAATTTAATGATGGAAAACAAGAGTCCATCATCTCTGCTGTGTTGTGTGATTTTTTTTAGATAACGGTGAAAAATTAAGGACTTCTCTTAATTATTATAGTACTTATTGTGTGGATACTGTGTCCTTAACCGAAACAATCAGGTGATCAGTGTAAAAATGTTCTCACAGATTATAACAATCCTTATAATGCAAACTTACATATTCTCGGATCCTTCCAGGTGGTATAATTATCATTGTGATTGACAAAGTAAACGCGAGTGTCTGGGTTGGGTGAGACCGCCTTTTGCCATCCCGGAGGTAGTGGTGTTTCTGGCTGATTTGTTGTGTCACCTTGTTTAGCGGCTGCCATTATCAGGTGTAACTGTTATATCACTGACAAATGTTTAACAGTGTTTTCCTCCATTCTTGATCCAATACTGATATACCTGTAAAAAATGATCACATGATGAAAATCTTGTTGTTTAATGAAAAAACCTATTTCATCAACCTTCTAGAAGTGATGTAGTTAATCCTAGATCTATTTGATATATACACGTATTTACACATTTCATTGTTTATAATTCTACCACTCAGACCTGTTAAAATGTAGAAGCTGCATGATGATGATCTCCATCAGCGGATAAATTTTGTTATTGTTAGATCAAATTTGATAAAAATCTGCTTAGTCCTTTAAGATTGGAAGCGATTTGCAGGAAAAACTGACCAAGGAATGGATGATTGATGCCATTGTATAACATATGCTCATCAGTACTTTGAACCAGGTAAGCCAATAAAACATTCAACAGAATTTATACCACATGATGGATCAGTATTACTGGTTTTAGTTCTGAGAATTTGGTGATACCAGGCTTATCAATGTAATTTGGTGGCATCCCTTCTGATATCTTATCAATCTATAATAAAAAGTTAATGTATACATATCACTCAATCTTTAAGTTAGAGATGAAAACAGTGACTCAGAAATATGATATAAATGTAAGATACACTGTATCAAAGTTACCTCTTTTCCCAAATGTGCTGAACCAAGCAGTAGTACTTTCTTTGGGACATTAGTTTTGGATCTCTCAAGAATTGATTCTTGCTAGCTACGTTATGTCAATGAAATGGAGTCAAACAAATCCATAAATTAAATGAAATGTGTTCATTCTGTAAGATTTATTTTAAAAAAAGACCAGTGAAAGTCCGGTACTTTTTTAAAAAATTATCCACAGATATGACCTCAAACTCACTCACCTGAAATGATCAACATATTTATCGGAAATGTGATTGCACTTCCGTTTCTGATGACATTGCTAAATCACAGAGATGTTTGAGTTAGCTTTAAATGAAGTGAATTCTTCATCAGTCACTCTACAATTCACTAGTCATTTAAAATTGGAAATGAGTCATCAAATGTTATAATTTAAAAATCACCACTTTTTCAATATAAGACGTCCTTGTTTGGACATTTGTAACCAAAAAATTGCAAGAAGGCATGGCCTAATATTCCTGATCAATTTTTATACACTGGGCAGACAACTGGCATTTGAGGATTGATTGATTGGTTATTTCATCATATCTGGAAGGATGATTGACATGTAAAAATGTGTAATAAGAAAAAATAAAGCCACTTTACCAAAAGATATATTCTCAACACATTTATGGTACATAGTTTTAATGACAAATTGTTATTCTTTCTGGAAGTCTAATATGTTACAGCAACCAAAGAATCCATGTGCGAGGACAAGCAGGTCAATAGTTCGAGTGATACGGTTCGACAAATTAGCCGTTCCGAAATACATAACGGTCCGGACCCGATGTATAGACGATATTGTGGCTTACTGCTAAGAAAAGTATAAAAGAGACAAATAATAATGCAAGTTCTAGAAAGGATGAGCAACATTAGCCGCGGACTGAAGTCAGTGGTAGAACTGAAACGGTATGCTAAATCTACCGTTTCCGCATGTCTTCTATCGATGCACCGGATATACTTACCCGAAGACAGATGGGGCAGGTGCCTTTCCACAGCCATTTGTAAACAAGTTGGTAACAACACTAGCGAAACATGAAAACTCTCGAGGGCTTCCAAAACACAAAGGTGCGTTCGCATTTCCAAATGCATTCGTGTTGCGATATATATCAACCAATATTGCGAAATAAGCATGCATGAATTCGAGGAATGAATGAATTTCTTCTGATAGTCATGTCGCACACTCTAAATACACCTAAAAGCTTGGTATTTTCCAAATTATCGTTTGGGTATTTCCCCGTTATTAGAATGGTTAAGCTCAAAATAAATAGAGCGTGAACTATTGATTCCATCACATATACATATCAAAAGAATATATTAAATTATGTTATTTTTTACAGCGACATACATGTATGTATAGGAAAACTTCAACGGTTTATAAATGTAGCCGGGTTCCAATGCTACAGTGTTTTATAAAATAACGCTGGATTAATTCCTTTCATACGTTTATTTAGACGCACCAAAAGACCCTACAATAACACAAATAAAACATAAGTCCATGTATAAGACATATTACAAACTACGCACTGTATGTTATACACTGGACATGGAGTCAACTTTACTTTTTACACATATTTATATTTCCCGTAACGGTTACACTAAACTTTACGAATTCATCAAAAAATATATATCCAATGCCAACACATGATAAACTATAGGATTTACCATTTGTATTACACAGATGTAGTTAATAGTTAAATAATATATATACATAATATACCTACCCTATCAATCTGACAGGGGTCTCAAGAGATAACATCCTTTTTTACAATAAAATGATCTATGGTTCTGTTGAAAGAAAAACAACAAAACGTAATTAACTATATTTGTAATAAATTTCTTTAAGATAATTCTGCAAAAATTACTATTCCCATTACAAAAGGAATAATGAAAAAAACCACAAAGAGATATTTCAATTTCTTCAAATATTTCAATAAATACGAAAATACTAATTCTGTAAAAGTTAACTAACATTATCGTTTAAAATAATTAAATGATATTTCAAATACTTACTATTTTAAAATGTATTTTTGCCACCACAGTCGTCCGTACGTAGCTACATATAATTGCGACTGTCCATGTCTCTGTCCAGCGCGTGAATAACGATACAGAACATACAGGTGCACGAACAAGCATGTAATCACGTGACAAGACATTTACATAACAAAACACAGGTGAGAAATTCTTAGAACATACACTGACAAAACAAACCGGTTGGACAAGTACATTTATAAAAATATATATAAATAGATAAAAGTAAAATTGACACTGCCACATACTCCCCCTGCAAATAAGATGACGTCCTCGTCAGTTTTTCTTGGTGACAAGAGACACTACTGCTTCTGTCATCTGTGGAGAGAGATTTAAAAATTCTTTTGAATTAGCTAGTGTCAACAAGTATCTGACTCTACGCAGCCAATCAGGCTCCTGGCCTGACATGACAAACTCACCTGAGGTGAACCACTTGGGTGGAGCTCTAACACGCTCCGACCTCCTGAGCTCAGTCTCTGGCTCCCGAGGTTGCTCACCCTCAACGTCTTGGGGTGGATCGTCATCAACAACCTCATCATCCCAGTCAGCTGTATGTGGACCGTCATCCTGCTGAACTGGAATGATATATACTGGAATATCATTGTTTGGCTGACTTTCCACTATATAAATTTCACCCTCCCATGGGTCAGCAATCTTGTGCCGGCCTTTGAATGCAAGTACTTTGACAAGTACTCTGTCTCCTGGCTCCAAGGTGGCACCACGTACTCGTACATCATACCCCACTTTCTGTTTCCTTTGTGCTTGATCAACATTCAATGAAGCCAAATGATATGCTTGCTTCAAACGTTCACGTAACTCCTCAACATATGCAGAATATGAGGGTTGATCAGAGTCTTCATCCTGCTCCCTAACGCCAAAAGCAACATCAACTGGTAGTCTGGGGTGTCGACCGAACATCAGGTAGTACGGTGAATACCCTGTTGTCTCGTGCCTAGTGCAGTTGTATGCATTAGTGAAGGGTCCAATAAATGACTTCCAATCTTTCTTTTGGTCTGGATTCAATGTGCGAAGCATGTCAAGCAAAGTTCTGTTAAACCTCTCACACAAACCATTTCCTTGCGGATGATAAGGACTTGTCCTCGACTTCTCTATTCCTAATAGCAGACATAACTCCTTTATGAGATCTCCTTCAAAGTTAGTTCCCTGGTCGGAGTGGATTCGCTTGGGCATCCCATAATGGATGAAGAAGTTATGGTAAAGAGCATCTGCAGTAGTATGAGCCGACATATTCCGAGTAGGTATGGCTTGTGCATATTTAGTGAAGTGATCGGTTATCACTAAAAGATATTGATAATTTCCTTTGGCTGGTTCTAGTGTAAGAAAGTCAATACACACAAGTTCCATTGGCTGTGATGTTTGTATGCTGACAAGTGGGGCTCGGGTTCTTGCTGGTGTCTTGGCTCTGGTACAGCGATCGCACAGCTTCACCCATTCCTCTATGTCCTTGCACATTCCAGGCCAATAGAATCGATCCTGTATGTTTGACGTCGTCCTATCACGCCCAGGGTGTCCTATGTCATTGTGTAAGGCCTGAAGCACCCTCCGTCTCAATGACAAGGGCAATACTAACTGAAGTGTATCATCTCGAGTCTTCTTGTATAGGACCCCTCTGGAGAGAGTTAAGTTGTAAAATTTCTTTGCATAGACCTTGAACTCATTACAATTATCCATAAATCTTGTTGGCCTCTGATGATTCCTGACATAGGGCAATATGTCACCAATTGCTCCGTCCTCACTCTGTAGTTTCCTCATCTGTGTGGGTGTGTATTCTCCGAAGTCTTGTCCAATGTCGGTATCATCTAAGACCTCAGCTGACATGCACATGGTTTCCATAAATGGAGATCCCTCAGTGATGGCATTGCACACAGCTTTGATGCATTCCCTGGTAATGTGTTGGATGTCTGTCCTACAATCATCCTCAAGTCCTGGGTATCTTGATAAAGTATCTGCATCCAGGTTGTTCTTTCCAGGCTTGTAGCGTATGTCAAAGTTGTATGTAGCTAAGGCCGACAACCAGCGATGGCCTGCAGCATCCAGTTTTGCCTTCGAAAGTACATAAGTTAAAGGGTTGTTATCCGTGTAAACTGTGAAGTGGTTTCCATACAAATAATCATGAAACTTGTCGGTAATGGCCCACTTCATAGCTAAAAATTCTAGCTTATGAGCTGGGTAATTCTTCTCCGTTTTTGTAAGTCCACGACTGGCGTAAGAAACTGGACGGCATGTACCATCATGGTCTTGATACAAAACAGCTCCCAAACCGATTGAACTGGCATCTGTATGAAGCT